CCTGGCGGCCCCGCCTCCATTGTGGCACACCCCTCACACGTTTCGTGGCCCCATGGGCGATTCCACCGACGGCCCAGTGGCAGGGTTCGCATGGCGGCTCCGCCTCCTTTCGGCCCCTCCCCGCACGTTTCGTGGCCACATAGGGAGTTCCACTGCAGGCCTCAGCGGCAGGGTTCGCATGGCGGCGTCGCTTCAATTTCGGCACACCCCTCACACGCCTCGCGGCCCCACATCGAGCTCTACGGCAGGCCCCGGTGGCAGGGTTCGTATGCCTTCGCCTGACTATTTTGACACACCTCTCACATCTTTCGTGGCCCATAGGAAAGTCCGCCGAAGGCCCCAGTGGCAGCACCCGCATGCGTCCCGCAGCCCACTTCGGCACACCCCGCACACGTTTTGGGGTTCCCATCCGCGTTGCCCCGTGCTCCGTCCCTCTCGCTGCGCGCTGCCTATGATGAGAAGGTAATGTCCTACATTGCTCACAGCTGCGCATGGTTGGTTCCTTCGTCAGGCTAAGTTTCTTCAGGGCGCTGGAGGCCTTGACGATACATGATGACGAGGGTGATGCTTATTGTGAGGACTTGAACGGTGATGATGTTTATGCTGCTGGTGATGAGGATGCTGATGATGATGACGATGATGCTGCTGCTGCTGAGCTGATGATGATGGTGATGCTGATTATGGTGATGATGATGCTGCTGCTGATGATAATGATGACGGTGATGCCGATGTTGATGATGATACGGCTGATGCTGTTGATGACAACGATGACGCTGGTGGTGATGATGGTGGTAATGATGATGATGATGATGGTGGTGGTGGTGGTGGTGGCGATGGTGATGATGATGCTGGTGGTGGTGGTGATTATGATGCTGATGGTGGTGGATGTTGATGTTGATGATGACGATGATTATGGTGGTGATGATTATGATGCTGATGCTGATGCTGATGATGATGATGATGGTGGTGATGATGATGTTAATGCTGATGATGATGATGACGATTCCGATGACGATGATGGGAATGATGGTGATGGTGATGCTGCTGATGATGACGATGCTGATGCTGATGATGGTGATGCTGATGAGGATGCTGATGCTGCTGCTGCTGATGATGCCATTGATGGTGATCATGTAAATGATGCTGATGTTGATGATGATGGTGATGCTGATGAATGATGATGCTGATGATGATGATGACGCTGATGATGACGACGACGATGATGATGAGGATGTTGATGATGTTGATGCTGCTGCTGATGATGATGCGGACGATGAGGATGACGATGATGATGATGATGATGATGATGATGATGATGTTGATGATGATGATGATGATGATGATACTGATGATGATGATGATGCTGATGCTGATGCTGATGCTGATGATGATGATGATGATGATGATGATGATGATGATGATGATGATGATGATGATGGTCCCTCCTCTTCCTCCTCGTCCTGCTCCTCCCAGCTCTCATCGGATGGGCGTCCCACCCAGTTTTCCTTTCTCTCCTCTCTGACGCTTTACCTCCATGGGCAGTGAACCTCCTCCTCCTCATCCTCATCCTCCGTCTCCTCCTCCCTCCCTCCCTCCCTCTTCCCTCCTCCCCCCCTCCTACTACTCCCCCTCTTCTGTCCCTCTTGCCCCCCCCCGTCCCAACGGGCCTTCGGGCGGGGCGAAAAGCCACTCAGGCTCAGCCAAGAAGAGGATCGGACAATTCAAGAAACAGCGAATGCTGCCAAGACGGAGGTGCCTCGCCATTTTTCGGGCCTCAGGGCTGTCAAACTGTGGCTCACGAGGGAGCGCCGGCTCTGGGGGAGAGAGTCGGGGCTTCCAGGGGACAAGTCGAGGCACAAAAGGTCTGGGCGCACGCAGGGTCTCGAGCAGTCTGCGGAAAGGCGCGCGGGAGGTCCTCGAGAATCGACTCGGCGGCTCGTGGCCTGTGGCGCCCTCGTGGCCCCCTCGCGCGCCCTCTCGCGCGCCCCCCCGCGCCGCGGCCTCAAGAGCAGATCTGGTGGCCCTCGTGCGGCCCTCTTGTGCGGCCCCAGTGTCGCGCGGGGCGCGTAGGCCTCTGGTCGATCTGGCTGCCTGCCGTGGCCCGACTCCCGCTGGCCCCTCGCGCCCCCCCCCCCCCCCGCGCGGGGGCGCTCACGAGGTCGACCTGGTGGCCCGTCCTGGCGTGCCCGGGTCGCTGGGAGGCTCGAGCAGATCGCCTCGGAGATTCTTCGACGTCCTCTGCCTCCGGAGGCCGTTTCGGGGTCCCGGGGGCCGTTTTAGGCAAAAAGGGCGATTTGGGATGAGCAGCTGGTCTGGGGGAAGGGGTCGAGAGCTCGGGGCCAACGACTCGAAACGTCGCGTCGTCTGAGGTCACGGCGTGGGAAGGGGCGCCAGAGCGGATTTGGTGATTCGTGTCCCGTGGCCCCCCTCGCGACCCCCGCTCGCGCCGCCTTCCTGAGACCATGGGCATCCTTCTACACTTACGGACAAGCAGAAAAGAAGGTCTGCGATTTCAGGGGCGCTAAGAGACAGTCTCGGCGCCCTCCTGGGCCATCGGGGGGCTCTCAGCCTTCCTGAGACTATCTGAGGCCGAAGATCTTTGCAGCCACAATTTTTAAGGGGTTCGGGGCTTTCGGGGCCTTGCTGCCACACTCGTATATTTCCAATGGCGATGCTTTGATTTAGCTAGTTGTGTTTGTATCAGATCTTCGCTCGTTCCCATCCTCGGGTGCACATGCTCGCTCGGCCACGCCCTCTCAGGATCAGCCTCTTCGATGTTTCAACTTGCGTGGCTGTTTGCGTCGTAAAGCAAACAGGATGATGGCATTACGTATGCAACTTCGGTGCCATGCGTTTTGCGCGGATTCCAAAGCACGTGTGCCGGTGCGCGGGGATATGCTTACACACGGCGTTTGGAGCAAGCAAATATATTTGCGCGCAGGCGTGCTGCAAGCAACACAGTTTGCCGAGTGATGTGGCCTTGCTGCCCGCCCACACACCCGCATGTTCGCCGCACGCCACAAGTTGACTGGCGCAGCGCCAGCGCGAGTCATTCGCGCATTCATGCGTGCTTCAATATTGCCATGCGCGTGACGTTCGCGTTTGCACCCGATGCGTGCTGTTTCAGCAGTGGATTTGCCAAGGAGAAGGTTCCGGTTTCTTGCTAGACTTTCTCTCTGCCCGGATCACCCCCTCGTTTCTACATCGGGGAGGCTTCGCTAAACATGTGAAGCACCCTGGTGAAGTTTTACAGTTGTCGCATATCCTTTTCTGATCCGCCCTTACGTTATTGTGAAGGCCTTACGGCCGGTGCCGCCGACCCTGAAGGCGGGACCTCACCGGGACCCCCTCTGGCGCCAGTACCCGCCGGGACCCTAGGGAGGGGTGGTCTTCTGACTCAGGACCCCACCTCCGCCACATGCGGGACATCCCCGGGATCCCCGTTGGCGACCCCCCAGAGGGGGTGGTTCCCTGGGCTCCCTGTCCACAGGCGGGACCCCCCGTGGGGACCTGCCAGGACCCCGGGAGGGGTGCGGTAATCTGGCCCGTGGCCCCTTTCCCGCCCCTTCTCTCCCCCCTCCCTCTACCCCCCCTTCAATCACTGTTCCATATTGATACACACCCCCTCCCCCCCAGGCGACCAGCAGCCAACCAGGAACAATGCCAAAACAAGTAAAACACATTCTGCTTCCAAGTTCTGAGAATGCGCAATTTACTCGATGCGGGCCCCTCCTAACACCACTGTCGAAAACAATACAAAGTACACTGTGGAGCAAAGTCTTGAGTCATGCTCGTGAGGCCCGCCTGCATTTCGTATTGTTTTTGACACGGGCGGCGGGGGTGTCAGCATATTGCCTGCTGTGCGCAGGGCCATCATCCTTTCACACAAGCAATACAACATGCACTTCGCGGCTAAATCTGGATCATGCGCGGCCACCCCGCGATAATTGTCAAGTGGTTTTCGACGGGGACGGCGGGGGTGGTGGCGTATGGCCTGCTGTGCGCAGGCCCACCAGACACAATGATGGGCATTGATTTTCGGCAAGGGTGGTGGGGGCCGACATGTTTCCCGATGTGTGCTGTCACGTGCGCAGGCGCACCTTACACACTCTGCACGTGCCCCGAACGTGGCGCACCTGGCGCGGCTGGAGTATGCGGCACACCTGGCGCACGTGGAGCATGTTGCGCCCCAGGGGTGCCTGGCGCACGTGGCGCGCCTGGCACGCGTGGCGCAGCTCGCCCCAGCGTCGCGCACATGGGGTCGGTTTTGCCCAGTAGCTGTCCATCCCGAAGACGACCGCTGAACATGCTGAGGCTCGTGTGTTTTGTATGTGTTGGAAGGGCGGGTGGGAACGAGCTTGACGGCTTGCTATCTAGAACGGTGCCTTGACCTCCCCCGGAACCCCCTCCCGTCAGGGAGGGGGAAAGGGAGGGAATCGACTTAACCACGACGTTACTTTTCTCAGTTCGTTCCTTTTTCTCTTGGGACTGGCGACGAAGACGACGACAGCGTCTCACGCACGCCCAAGGTCGGCGGATGACCAGGAAACTGGATATTCATGACGTTGCTGGCCTGGGGGAGGGATGGATACCTACTTGGATGTATGTGTTTCAGCGCTCGGCCATTCTATTGCAGGGTGCGCACGCCTCCACATGCTCCACATAGGAACCCAGCCATGCGCGTTTCCAGCTTCCTGGTGAAGCCTTAAGCTGTGATTGATCCGGCTTCTCGCCCAAAGGGCGCCGTGGGGAGAGGCGCGCCCACGTGTCTCACGGGAGTATGTAAGGTTGCACGGGGGGATGCCTCGTCTAATTCTTGTTTGATCTTTCTTGTGTGCTCAACCAGCAGAGACAGCCTAGACCTTAAAGCAGGAGGCAATCCGAAACGCCAGCCGGTGTTTTTGTTAGGCTTGCCCGTTTTCCACCCCTGTTCTCTGCGTATCGCGTGATCGTCATCATGGAGGTGGTCATCAGTCAGTGGAGGGGAAAGGTGAATCTGCAGTTAAGTGTTGGCCCAAGCCGCTGGGCTGAGCGAGGTGACCTGCAGGTCGACACCTCGACCGCCGTGGGCAGGAAGGAACACACACTTTCGTGCCAGCATGCAGCCGGCGCAGCAGGCGACGCGCGTGTTGCGAGAGTTCCACAGCGGATGGATGGAGTGTGAAGACGCGCAGGGCGTGTTCTACTATAACAACATAACTAAGCAGAGCTGCGACGATGTACCGCCAGAGCTGCGCGCAGCCGCGCCCCCGCCACAGCAGCCGCAGTTGCAGCAGCAGATGCAGCAGCAGATGCAGCAGCCGCAGCAGGCGCAGCAGCAGGTGTCGGGCTTAACGAACGAGAGGGACGCGAGAGAGGGGTGCTTACGAAAACCGCTGCACGCAGCTGGCTTCGCCCCGACGCCGGGTGCTTTCCTCCAATACTGGCGCTTCTGGCGCTGGGAGGCGCTGGGAAAATCAGTCACGTGAGCTGATTCGCTACCCCCCTCACTAACTCAGGCATGCCCAGGGCTAACCAGAATGCTCACAGAGCGCTTTGCAACGCTTTGGAACGGCGCGCCCAATACGCCCTCCGGACCCGCCAGCTCTCAGAGACTCCCGATATATCCTTCTCCGCATTTGCCCTCACCCTGCCTTCGTCTTGCGACCCCCCCGCTTTCGTCCGAGCTGAAGGTGGAGGTGCTGCGTGAACTCCCTCGGGACTGGGTGCAATGCCGCGACGCGCAGGGCATCTTCTATTACAACAAGGCCGGCGCGAGTATACACCCGTCTCTAAAAAGGACGGTACTGTATGTACATCAATAAGCAAAGCACGACATCAGAGTGAGGGGGCCGAACGGTCATTCACTGTCCCTGGGTGCGTGGCTGAAGTGGGATTCCGCGGTGCGGATTCGTGTTGTTGTTGTTGTTTGTTGTTGTTGTTGTTGTTGTTGTTGTTGTTTGTTGTCGTCGTCCCACCCGCCACCCGCCCCGCGACCCACCGGCGACCCACCCCGCGACCCACCCGCGACCCACCCGCGACCCACCCGCGACCCACCCCGCGACCCACCCCGCGACCCATCCCGCGACCCACCCCGCGACCCACCCGCGACCCACCCGCGACCCACCCGCGACCCACCCCACGACCCACCCCGCGACCCACCGGCGACCCACCCGCGACCCACCCGCGACCCACCGCACCCCGCGACTCACCCGCGACCCACCCGCGACCCACCCGCGACCCACCCGCGACCCACCCGCGACCCACCCCGCGACCCACCCGCGACCCACCCGCGACCCAAACCACGTTCAAGGTACAAACCAACATTTTCGGCGCCTGCGGCGGGCTTTTTTTGCATTCCTTCCAGGTGGAGAGCCCGCGACCCACCCCGCGACCAACTCGCGACCAACCCGCGACCCAAACCACGTTCAGGGTACAAACCACATTTTTCGGCGCCTGCGGCGGGCATCTTTTGCATTCGTTCTAGGTGGAGAGACCGCAGCCCACCCGCGACCACGTTCAGGGTACAAACCAAATTTTTCGGCGCCTGCGGCGGGCATCTTGTGCATTCGTTCCTGGTGGAGAACCCGCGGCCCACCAGCGACCCAAACCACGTTCAGTGTACAAACCAAATTTTTCGGCGCCTGCGGCGGGCTGCTTTTGCAGGAGGACGAGGAGGAGGAGGAGGAGGAGGAGGAGGAGGAGGAGGAGGAGGAGGAGGAGGAGGGGGAGGAAGACGACGACGACGACGACGACGACGTCGACGACGACGACAAAAAGGAGGAGGGGGGAGGATCGGGAGGGGGGGAAGAGGAGGAGGACGACGAGGAGGATCATGACGACAATGGGAGGACGATGATGGAAGGACGAGGGGGGGAGAGGGAGGACGAGGAAGAGGAGGAGGAGGAGGACGAGGTGGAGGAGGAGGACGACGATGACGATGAGGACGAGGACGAGGACGAGGGAGGAGGAGGAGGAGGAGGAGGAGGAGGAGGAGGAGGCGGAGGAGGAGGAGGAGGAGGAGGAGGAGGGGGAGAAGGAGAGCGCCATCGACAGGGAAGGTGGGGGCCACGAGGTCCGCCGGCTTGACGACGCCCGCGTCGCCCGCGCCCGCCCCCTCACTCTTATCCGCAATTGCGGGGTGCTATATAAGCATAAACTTTCGGAGGTCTGCACGGACTTCTTCGATCGGCGCTAGGCCCCCAGGCGGCGCCTCCGGCGCCAACCCTGGCGCGCTCCGTGCGCCATGGACGGGGGTCCAGTGCGGGTCCACGAAATCCGCGCGCACCTCCGAAAGTCAACATGTATTGGTTTCTTGTTCAGTGCATCATTCCAGGGGATTTGCAGCTGCAGCAGGGGAAGGTAGGGTCAGCAGGGAGCAAACACAATGAATCGTCCATCCCCAGGAAGATATGAGAAAACAGGGGAAGTGGAGGGGAAGGCGAGCATCCATAACATCTGCAAACATTTGGGGAATCCTGGGCTACGTGTCTTACTTGTGTGTCCCTGGGCTCCTTTGCAGGTGAGGTCTGCTTCGCCCCCGGAGGTCCCCGGAGGTCTCCGGAGGCCTGGGACGCCCGATCGTTTACCCCCAAGCGTGCCGGGGCCTTCCCTCCTCGGTCCTTGAGGGTCGAGGGCGAAACCTTCTGGCTGACCCAAACGGGGGTCTGGCGAAAAGAGGGTGGTGCAATGGATTTGGCGCAATCCATTTCTGGGGTTGCAGTAGATTTCGGGGCGTGCAGTACAGTCCAGTGCGCAAAGTGCATTGCGCAGCTTTTGCGTGTAATGCTTTCGTTGCGCTACAATGCGATACAAGTCTCCGGCACAGCACATGTGCAGTGCAAGTGCCCCAAATCTATTGCACCAGCCCCTTTCAGCTGGACCCCCTTGTGGATCAACCGAAATCTTGGCAGGAGGAGCATGAGGAGCATGAGGAGCAGTGCGGCAGGTTCGCGCCGCGTCGACGCAGCGGCGACCCCAGCCGCGGGCTTTCAAGGTGGAACGCCGCCGGTGGCCCCAGAATTGGCCTGGCGAGAACCGAGGTCGTGCAAGGTTGAGCAATCCGCGCGGTGTCAGAAACCAACGCTCCGCTCGTCACGAACCCGCCGTAATGTAGGATGGCGATTCAGAAATGACCAACGGGGTTCCACCAGGCAGCAGCGTCCTGGGCTAGGAGCGGTAAATGTTGTTCAGGGCCCGCTCGTGGACGTGGCCGTCGTCGTTGAGTTTTTTGACCGTCCACTTCAAAGTCTCTCCCACCTGCAGAGAACAGAGAACCGCTTTCTGAAAAGTCCCGCCCGCGTTTTTTTCCCAATCGTCATTCTACATGAGTAGGAGGAGGATGACGAGGCGACCCAGCGGTCCAGCGACGATCTCCCAGACGAGCTGCGGGCGCCAGAGCCAGCGCCAGCGCCCGCCGCGCACTATGCGCAGCCCGCCGCCCAGCCCCCGTGGTCTGTTGGCTGCCGCCAGGCCCAGACCTCTTGACGCGCAGGGATTCGAAGAAGAAAGAGAACAACAAGACTGACAGTAGTAACAATGATATTGAGAAGAGTGCGAATGATCAGAACCGGCAAACACACACACACACATGAACTTTCGGAGGTCCGCGCGAATCGCTGAGGACGGCGCTGGACTGCCCTCCCTGGCGCGCTCTGCGCGCTGGGGGCGGCGCGGGAGGCTTCGCCAGGGGGATCCAGCGCCGATCTGAGAAATTCGCTCGAACCTCCGAGCGTATATGTTGATAGAAATTGCAGTACCTCGTAAAGCTGATCAGGATGGCGCCGCTGTCTTTGACATCGATCGGGCGAGGGGAGAAGGATTCCGAAGTTTTTGCCCCCCCCCTCCCTCCCTGCTCTTGGGTCTTCTGGAGGCATTCCAGGAGCCTCCACATACGGTCACGACGTTGGCAGAAGTTGGCCGCCCCTGAGAGCAAAGGTCGCCGCAGCCGTAATGCTAGGGGTGCTTCGGAGTCGGCCGTTCGGCTCTGGCCGGGTGGCCAAGAGACCCACGGGGCCCATCTGCAGCCGCAGTACCTGCAGCAGCAGCCGCAGCAGCCGCAGCCGCAGCCGCAGCAGCAGGCCCAGCCCACCGTGCACGCCAAGGCCCGGCGGGGGCCCTCTGCTGCTGCGCCCGCTTTCGGGTTACATGTCTGTGGCGTTCGGCCGTCACTACGCCCGCTGCCCGCGGCGTCGTCTCCTGAGCCTCCAGGGGGCCTGCTCGTCGCCGCGGCGGGACGCAGCTCAGAAAACGGGCCAGGGGGAATCCCAGCAAGGGTCCCGGGAGCGGTCCTGAGTGGATTTTGGGCGAGGGACGCCAGCCATCCAGGTCCATGCTGGGCCAGATCGGTGTAATTACACGCCTTCTTGGCCAAGCCAGGAGGGCGCATACACCGAATCTGGGGCCAGCATGGGCCTGGCCAGGGTAGGTGTAGGTGTCGAGCTGGCGTCTTCCTATCTCCTCCTCCGCCACCTCCTCGTCCTCTGGCAGTACCTCTGGGCTGCGCTTCTGGGACAAGACGCGCGGGCGGGCGGGGATGAGACTATCAAAGGTAATTGTTGACGCTTCGCGTATCCCCACCAGCCCATCCAGAAACGATGCTCAGGGGAGTTAAGGTGATCAGGGAAGTCGGGGAGCATGCAGAATAACAAAGGGCGGGGGAAGCTGTCACAGACCCCGAGAGGGGGAGGATGGAAGAGGAGTCGTCGTCGTCGTCGTCGTCGGAGGAGGAGGAGGAGGGGGAAGAGGAGGAGGAGGAGGAGGAGGAGGAGAACGGAGAAGGAGGAAGAATCGGAGGAGGAGGAGGAGGAGGGGAAGGAGCTTCTTGGGGGTCTTTTGAGGGCCTCTTGGAGGGCTTTTTGGGCGCCTTGGGGCATCTTGGGCGCCTCTTGGGACCCTCTTGAGGCGCTCTGGGGAGCCTTCGGGGCGCTTTTGGGGCCATCTTGGAGGGAGTCGATCAAACAAGAGGGGGGGGTAATTAGCGCCCCCCCTCGGAAGCCCCTAAAATCGCCTCTTGGACCCCTCTTGGAACGCTCTTGGAGTGCTCTTGGGCGCTCTTGGGGCCGTCTTGGGGCTCTTTTGGGGCTCTCTTGGGGCCCTCTTGGGCCATCTTGGAGCCATCTCCAGGCCTCGGATGGCCATCGGAAGCGAAAAGGCGAGAAAGCTCCTTAGGTTTTGGGACGAAACTTGGAGTTATGGAACCATCTTAGGAGGAGCGATCTTGCGCTATCTTGAGCCATCTTGGAGCTCATCTTGGGTTCTCTGAGGCGCTCTTGGAGCCGTCTTGGGGGGACGCTCTAACTAAGGTCCGGGGCCTTGAGGGGTCTAACGGATTTTTACCCCTTCAGGAATCTTGGGGAACGCTCTTGGAGTGCTCTTGGGCGCTCTTGGGGCCGTCTTGGGGCTCTTTTGGGGCTCTCTTGGGGCCCTCTTGGGCCATCTTGGAGCCATCTCCAGGCCTCGGATGGCCATCGGAAGCGAAAAGGCGAGAAAGCAAAAATCATTGATTTTCCTTAGGTTTTGGGACGATTTTGGCCTCTTCGGGGCCTCCTTGGGGAGCTGTTTGGCCACTTGGAGTTATCTTGGGGCCGTCTTTGGGCTTCTTGGAACCATCTTAGGAGCCATCGTGAGCGATCTTGCGCTATCTTGAGCCATCTTGGAGCTCATCTTGGGTTCTCTGAGGCGCTCTTGGAGCCGTCTTGGGCCATCTTGGACGCTCTAACTACCCGCGGCCCCCCCCGTCCAGGTCCAGGGGAGGGGGTAGGGGGAGGGGTAAACCCCTCCCCAAGGGGGAAGAGGGAGGGGTGGAAGAGGATCTGCTCTAGACCACCTACGCCCAGAGGGCTGGTGGGATTCCGCAGAAAGCCGTCGCGGCGCGACCTCTCGCCGGTGTTGCCGGCAGAGAGGCGCATACACGGCGGTGCTCTCGGCCCGTGCCGCTTTTCGTTGCTGGGGGGGGGCAGCGGGGGGCTGCCATGGAGAGGGCGGCACGGGCGCACCCGGGCCTGGTCGCCCGCAGCTCCTCCCTCCCTCTCTCTCTCTCGTTCTCTTTCCTGCGCCCGCCCGCCTGCCCGCCGCGCAGGTGGGGGACTGGTCCGTGTGCGAGGACGGCCGGGACGAAGGCTGCATCCCGGGCTCCCGCGCCCACAGGTTGGGTGTGCCGCTGGCCCAAGGTGCCCCCAGGATTTTCTGGGTGGACCAGACGGCCTCCAGAGCACCTCTGACGAGGCCCAGAGGGCCTCAGCGGCTGGGAAATGCAGCGAACAGCTGGGGGCGCCTTGGGCCAGCGGCACCTTTAGCAATCCCCGATTGGGGGCGACTTCGGGCGGCCCCAGGATGGCCCCAGGAGAGCCCTCGGCGCCTCGCAGAGAAGGCCGCCTCGGGGCCCTTCTGGGGTCGCGGCTGCCTCGTGTCGTTCGTCGTCGTCGTCGACGTCGACGTCGACGTCGTCGTCGTCGTCGTCGTCGTCGTCGTCGTCGTCGTCGTTCGTCCTTAGCCGTTTTGTCGTTCCGCTCGACGGCGTCGTTCGTCCTCGGTTTGTCCCCGTCATGCGCCCGTCGCATTCTCCTCGTCTTCCCCCCTCCCCATCGCCCTGGCCCTGGAGCCCCTCCTTCTATGGCACAGCGGTGCTCTAAAGCACGGAGGAGTCTTTTACTTTGGTCGTTTGTCGTCGTCTTCCGTTCGTCCGTGGACTCCTTGTTCCCCCACCGGGTGGCCGCAGTCCAGGATGGCCGCAAGAAGCTTCTCCCTTGGTCGCCTTGCTTCCCCTTTTTCTCGCCGCTCCCCTGGGCAACATTCAGGGACGCGTGCCGCTTGTTACCTCGTTGTTGCGGTCTCCCTATTTCCCAGTTGTTCGCCCTCCCTTCTGCTGTTTCTCCTCATGCCTTTCTTTCTCCTCTTCGATCCCTCTCCTCCTCCTCCTCCTCATCCTCCTCATCCTCCTCCTCCTCCTCCTCTTCCTCCTCCTCCATCGAGGCATCGAACTGCAGGACACAGACTGGCGACAATGCCAGCGGGCCTGTGCACTTTTGTCCACACTCGCACACTCGAGGTACTGACCTCCAGGACACAGCCCGGTGGCAATGCCGGCGGCCCTGCATCAACGTGCCCAGGAGAGGTACGGCCCCACTGCACCGCCACTGTGCCTCCACGAAGCGGTCTGGGGAGGTGCGAGCTGGGCTGCCCGCCCCCTGTCGGCGCCCGTGTGCCAGTTCGCACCTGCCCTGCTTAGGTGGCCCCGAGTTGGCCGCAACTGTTGCAACCGCGGCAAAGCCACACTGACCAATCCTCTCAGTTCCCGTCCCGACCCTCATTTTCCCCTTCCTCTTCCCACGCGCTTGCTTATGACGCTTGGCGCGGCGGCTGCGGCCAGTATTCTTTACTGCATCGCCACTGTGCCTCCACGAGGCCGTCTGGGGGGGTGCGAGCTGGGCTGCGATGAACTGGCGTTGGCATCCGTGCACCAGCTCACCTTTGGCCTGCTTAGGTGGCCGTTGCAGGCGCGGAAATCACACATTATCCATTCACTTCTGATCCCGTCCTCCCTCCTCCGTTCCCCCCTCGCTCCTCCCGCGCACTTGGTGACGATACTCCGCGCTATGGCTGCTCATCCCTGTTGATGAACAGCCCCGTGCATCCCCGTGCCAGCTCACCTTTGGCCTGCTTAGGTGGCCCTGGGTCGGTCACAGCCGTTGCAGGCGAGACAAACCCAAATGCGTATGAGACTTCGCGCGATGACTGCGGCCTGAGCGCCTCGCTGCACCGCCACTGTGCCTCCACGAGTCAGTCTCGGGATGTGCGAGCTGAACTGCCCATCCCTGTCGATGAACAGGCGTTGGCGTCCGTGTAAATGGCCCCGAGTCGGTCACAACCGTTGCGGGCGAGGCAACCATAGCCGAACAATGCACGAGGTCATTGGAGCAAGCGCGCCATCATATGTATTAATCCAGGGCGCGCCGCGCACCGAAGGATTTTCTAAATCCAGGGCGCGCCGCGCACCAGAAGATTTATCAATCATTCGCGCGCCCGATCGTGAAGCGGGAGGTCTGGTCACAATGCGAACATACACCACCACCGTCACACCATTACGAACTTCGTGTTGTATCGTTGCGTCTTGCATTGTGGTGCGATGTATTTCCTCTGGGCTGATGTCGAAGAGTTGCGTGTCCGCCATGGCGCAAATTTGGGCGGCTGTTCCGATCCAGCGTCGCCCACCTGCTCATAGCGTCACCCGGGTCAATAATTGTCACGCATGAGTGGCCCGCCCCCTTCCCTCGCAGGGGACGTGCGATCGGGGATCGCCAGCCCGCATTGTTCCGCTACGAATCCGTCGACAGGTTCATTGGGGACTCGTTTTCAGTTTTTTGCCCGCTCAGAGTTTCATTTATTTGTTTGTCTGTTGCCTTCCGTTATCATGTGCGGATGCTGGCTTGCGCGCGGTTGCTTTTTCTCTTGTTTCGCGGCGGTGGCTGTGCCGTGCCGCGCCGTGCTTGCCGTGCTTGGCTATAAGAATGCAGAAAATGTGCCTTGCCGTGCCGTGCCGCGCTTGTTCTTCATAGTGAAACAGCTGTGCCTTCCCGTGCCGTACCGCGCTTGGTCTGCAAGCGCACCCTGGACTTCCGAAACACACTGGTGCGCCTTGACGCGTCGGTGCTGGCGCTTGGACCGGTGTCGTCGCTTGCGTGGGCGCTGGGGTTGGTGCCGGCGGAGGCGCAGGCGTCGGTGTTGGCCGTCGTAGGCGCTGGCGTCGATGCTGGCGACTGTGCTGGCGTCGGTGCCGTCGTAGGCGCTGGCGTCGGTGCTGGTGTAGGCGCGGGCATCGGGGCGTGCGCCGTCAGTGTTGGCGTCAGTGCTGACGTCGGTGCTGGCGTCGGTGCCGACGTCGGTACTGGCGTAGGCATTGGCGTTGGTGCCGGCGGGGGCGCAGGCGTCGATGCTGGCGCCGTTAGTACTGGCGTCGTTGCTGGCGTCGGTGTCTGCGTTGGTGCTGGCGCGCACGCTGGCGTCGGTGCCGGCGTAGGCGCGGGCGTCAGCACTCGCGCCGTCAGTGCTGGCCTCGGTGCTGGCTTCGGTGCCCACGTCGGTGCTGGCGTAGGCGCCGGAGTATGTGCGGCCGTCGGTTTTGCGCCGTCGGTGCCAGCCTCAGTGTTGTCGTCGATGCTGGCGTCGGTGCTGGCGTCGGTGCTGTCGTCACTGCTGTCGTCAGTGCTGTCGTCGGTGCTGGCGCTGGTGCTGGCGTCGGTGCTGCCGTGGGCGTCAGCGTTGGTGCCGGCGTAGACGTAGGCATCGGTGCTGGCGTTGTCTGTGTTGTCGTCAGTCCTGGCGTCGATGTTAGCGTCGGTGCAGCCAGGGGAGCAGGCGTCTGTGCTAGCGACGGCGCGGACGTCAGGGCGGACGTCAGTGCTGTGTCCTGGTGCTGGTCGAGGTGGCGGTGCTCGGCGTGGTCGCCTGTGGCCGACGCAGCTGGTAGTGCGACTGAGATCGGTGCGCCATCTGCAATACTAAGTACTCGACGCGTGTGTGCCCTGGGCGGGGGCGCAGCGAAGAAACGGGGGCGGGGGGGGCAGCCTGAAGATGACGAAGATGACGAGTTTGGTGGCCCGACTAGAGGGGGCCAGTCCCGCCATGGCCTTGACGGCCCGTTGGGGGGGGCAAGTCCCGCCGCGCCTATGGGGCCGCGGATGTTGCCGTCGTCCCTATGGTTTGTGCCGTCGCTGGTGAGGGCCGTGCCGATGGTAGTAAAGATCGTGCCAATGACGGCGCCAAGGGCGATACTGAAGGGGTAGGTGTGAGGGGCCCGGCTGGCCGTTATAACGGCGCGGCGGCCTAGAGCACGGTCAGGAGCGAGTCCCGCGCCGAAGACGCGGGGGAGGCTCGCCATGAACCCGAAGACCACGCCGACGATGCCCAGGGCGGCATGGAAGTAGTTGGGGTCGGGAGCCCGGCTGGCTGCCGGAGCAGCGCGGCGGCTTTGATCGCGGGCGTGGATTACATCGCGCATTTCTTGAAGGTCAGTGCGGTGGCCGCCGAGAACGGCGCGAAGTATATGCAGTTCGCGCCGCAGACTGCGGATGTCAGCACGGAGCTCCGCTCGAAAAGCACAGGGTACTTGATCAGGAGGTGCGGGAGGGGTCTGGCCGTCAAGGATGTGCACGTGGAGGATGTGGTGGTCGTGGCGGTACTCCGTGAAACGCAAACGACGCTCAGGTACCGCAGGTTGCCTAGGCAGTACCCGTTGGTGAAACGCGTCATTGCCCAAGTGGCCGGCGCTGCGTCGCCACTGCGACGCGGTCGTGGACATGCAAGGATCGAAGGGGACGCGAATCAGCCCCGCGCTGAGGGGCGCGGTTCCGGTCTCTCTCTTGGCGATGGTTTGCGGGAGGGTTCGCGTCGGGGGCTCGCTCTGAGTGCCAGGCACTCGAGCCGAGATGAGAGGGAGAGAGAGAGAGAGAGACAGAGATAGAGAGAGAGAGAGAAACAAAAAGAGCGAAAGAGAGAGAGAGAGAGAGAGAGCGAGAGAGAAAGAGAGAGAGAGAGAGCGATTAGTACAGTCGGGGCGCTGAAGAAGGAACCCTTTTCGTTTGGGAGGGGCTCGGTGTTCCTTAATTGTTCCACACCTTGCCTAAGGTTTTCCTTCAGTTTCGATGGGAAGTCGAAGGTTAACTTCTGGAAAAATGGGCCTCGTTCCTTATTTTGGGTTCCTTAGGTCAAGCCCCCGACTGTAGCCGTGCACGCTTGGCCTCTCCAAGTAGGCCAAGAGAGTGACCCACATTCCAGCGTTAAACGGCTCCCCCTGCCGATTATAGAAAACGATGTTCCATTTGTTGCAACTGCAACTACAGGGTCAGAGGTCCTGTAGGACACGCCAATTGGCAAACTTTAGAGTTCACCGCCATGGGCAAAGGATGGGCGGGAGGGGCAGTGAATCTGATGTGGCGTCTGCACGCCTACCTTGTCCTATCCTGTGTTATTTCTCCTCCTCTCTCCTCCGACCTCCTCCCTCCTCTCCTCCCTTCTCCTCTTTCCTATCATTTTCCCTCCTCCTCCTCCTCCATTCCCACCTTCTCCCTCTCCGTGTCCTCGTCCTCCTCGGTCGCTTCCCCCCGGCGTCCTGGATCGGCGCTCTCGTCCCCCTCTTTTCCTTTCGCAGAAAAGAAGCACATCAGCGTAAGCATAAACTTTCGGATGTCCGCGAGGATCCCAACACATCCGCGCGGACCTCTGGCACTTTATGTTTATGCCGATGTGCTTCTTTGTTTGTCCTCCTCCCCTCCTCGGCCCCGTCCGTAAGGACGACCAGGGCATCTACTACTTCCACCACCCATCGGGCCGGTCCACCGAAGAGCAACCCCCCGAGGTGGGCGTTGGAAGGTGGGGTGGGAGACGTGAGGTCGGGTCACGGCGGCGCAGGAAGGCGCCCAGGCGACGTCCGCACATGAACAAGACGAGACATGAGGGACGGAGGGACGAGGAGAGACAAAAGGAGGCGGAGGAGGAGGCGGAGGAGGAGGAAAAGAAGGAGGAGGAGGATGATGAGGAGGAGGAGGAGGAAGAGAAGGAGGAGGAGGACGAGGACGAGGAGGAGGAGGAGGAGGAGAAAGAGGAGGAGGAGGATCAGGAGGAGGAGAAGGAAGAGGAGGAGGAGGAGGAGGAGGAGGAAGGAGGAGTAAGGAGAGAGGAGGAGGAGAGGAGGAGGAGTAGAGGAGGAGGAGGAGGAGGAGGAGGAGTTGGAGGAGGAGGAGGAGGAGGAGGACTGTACCCAAAAGTGTTCCTCCCTCCACCTCTAGCGGCAACAATACTTCTGCTTCGCTTTGATTACCTTAGTTGTGAGCTGCTCGTGTTCCCTCTGTGCCATCTGTGAGGCAATCTTAGGTTCGCGTGACCGCAAACTTGTTGCGCGCTCGCTGCGCACGGTCTCTGCAAGACTGCCCCAACGTCGGCGCCAGCAAGTCGAACGCCTTCTGCGGCATTGCAGCGTAGGCGTCGACATGGTCGTCCGATGGCACGGGGGGAGGCGCCTGTTTGTCGTTTGGGAGTTGGCGCGCTGAATGCGAGGGCGGTGCGGCCCAGGCGCCGCGGGGAGGTTGCCCCCCCGTCCGAGGCAGCTGGCCCTCTCATGGACGTGTTGCAGCAAAGTACCTACTCTGCCACTCGTAGCTGAAGTTGAAACCGCGCTTCTTCGACGGACAACACCAGGTCGTTAGCCAGACAGCCATGGGGGAGCCAAGCAAGAACGGGTGCGGTCACGAGACGCCGTCGCTGGGGCGGACCAGCGAGGGCTCAGCCAGGGGCCGTCCTGGCAAAGGAATCCACTCTGGCCGCGGACTAGCATATTCCACTGGGTTAGCAAGGATTGGGTTCGCAAGGAAGCTTCAAGAGCTTGAACCAAATCGCTTGAGCCAACATGCCTCCAGTCCCCCCCCCTCCTGTGCTCCTGTGGTCTGACGGCAAGGGGGTTCGTCGAACGCTGCCGCCTCTCCTCCTCTCCTCCACCTCCTCCTCCTGCTCCTCCTCCTCCTCCTCTTCCTCCTCCTCCAGCTCCCTGTTTCCTCCTCCCCCGCCGCGACCTGCTCGAGGCTTCTCGGTGCCGCCCCCCTCCCCCTTCCCTTCCCGCCCGAGAGGTGGCGCGCTACCTCGCGGACGGGAGGCAGCGACCCGCCGCCTCCGCCGGAGCTCCGGGCCAGCACGGCGCCCACGGCGGCCAGATGCCCCACGCGCCCAGCTACGCGCCGGCCGCGCGGGGACGAGAACTCCCAGACCTCCCCAGACTTCAACAGGAAGATTACCTGAGGATCCAAATGTTACCCCCCACCCCCGGCCAGAAAAGTTTAGTAAATGACCCAGGGCCGCTTGCGGTGTACACCATGTCGCTGGGTATGCCGAAAAACTTGCATTGATCGCGGAAGCCCCGCTGGGCGCGCGTGCACAAGGCCGCTGGCATCGGGTGCACTGGGGTGAAAGGCGAGCGCCATACGCAGATATCGCTTGCCCCGGGAGCCCTCCAAAGCAAAGCATTTGCAAAGTGCCAGCCAGCCAGCTAGTACCGATACCGCTGTTCATCCTGGAGATTTCGTGTCGCCACGGTTGGATTCTCCTTGAAGTTCCGGTCAGAACGCACCTTGGGAGAGGTCCGGGGAGCAATGGTATGGGTACCTGTTTTTGTTCCCCCAGGACTCCCTCGCGTCGTGGAAAAGTAGCGTCCAGGGAACCTTCCTGGAGGCCAGTTGACGGACCTGCTCGGTTCCAGTTAGAACCTGTTTCGATTCTAGTTCGACTCTAGCTTGACCCAGGTTCGACTCAAATTCGACTCAAGTCCGACTCGAGTCGACGGACGTTCGACGCAGCGTCGACGCATGAGTGGAGCGAGTTGCCCGAGGAAGGTCCCCAGAACGAGCATCCAACCCAGGCTTCCCAAGAACCCTTCGCGTCGTGGGCAACAATGCGACGGGAGGCTTTCGGCGAGTTTCGGCTTCGAAGGGATCTTGCCAGGCCTCGGGGCCGTCAAGCATCGACTCAGGATGAAGAGCCGGCCCTGGTGAAGGGGTCCAGATCTCTGGAGGTCTACATGGTGAACTATACAAGATTCTGAGGTTCTTGGACGTCGCGTCGCCAGCAGCGGGGAGGCCCAGAAATAGGACAACTTACAACCGACCAGAACGGATGCTAACCTTTTCGAATTAATTCCAACCGTTTAATCACGAATCCCAGCCGCCTCGAGCGGTCTTGGAGGGATATTGTCAGATGATTCCACAGAACTCCTCACGGATTACCTGAGAAGATCTTTAGAGGGTCTTCGAGAGATTTTTACAGGGTTCTTGCGAAATACTTGCAGGATCCCCGAGAACTCTCTAGAGGTTCTTTGAGAGATCCGTTAAGGATCCCTGTGAGATCCTTACAGGATCCCTGACAGATCCTTACTGGATCATTGAAATATCCAACAGCAGTCGCCGCCCCCGCTGACACACCCCCCACACTTGGACTCCTGGTCCCTGTGATGGCGCTCGCTGGCTTGTGCTCTCGAGGAACAACACACGCCACGTCGTGATTATTCCAAGACATTGTTTCTTTTGAAGTTCTCGGTTTCTGGGGGCCCTCGACGGGCCCCGTGACCACAACATCTCGATTCAGGACGCAACGTCGGCCTGATGGAAGTTGTCGGGACCTCCAGGGACCAAAGAGCACTGACGCCAGCATCGACGCTAACACACACGCCAGCGCCTACGCCAGCACCGACGACGGCACGAACGCCGGCGACTGCGCGACCGGCGACTGCCAGTGCCTACACCAACGCCGACGCCAGCAATGCCGACAACACGAACGCCAGCGCCTGCGCCGGCACCAACGCCAGCGCCTACACCAGCACCGCGGTCGAAGTCAGGGCGACTCTATCCACACCTGACGGGAGTCACGCCATCTCCCAGAGTTGACGAGCATATTCAGGACAGTTAGCAATTCATGTGTGGACCACGTCAGCGCACCAGCATGCGGTTATTTCTACCGTCGCCCCGCCACAGCACCCGTCCCCCGAACAAGTTGGCCCCAAGAATGTGTCGGGAACACGGCAGACGAGCACAACGAAATGACACCAGGTCCCAACCCACAGGCATCAATTGTCACATATAGCTCTCGGAGGCGTCCTGCAACCGACTCCAGTGCCAGTTCCAATAGCACGAGTGAGGCCACCACCATCTGCAGCACCCTCGCCAGCAGCACACTTGCCTGTGCAACGATGCTCTGGCCCAGTGCGGACCAGGAGTGGCGGGCGGTCGCCAGCAGCACAACCATGAAACGCCCCGACTCCAACTACATCTAATATTCCGACTCCGACTCCGACTATGGTTCCAGCGCCGACGCCGATGTAGAGATTCTCTGGAGTAATTCTTGCACACGATGGCATTGTTTCATGGGGAGACCACCCGAGAGGGGGGGCACTTTGTCAACCTCTCTGTCCTTGCCGCGTGGCCGATACCACCGACCCCATCGATTGCAGTATCGCCGGTTACATGATGTCTGACACGCTGGAGCCGATCATCACACCAGGTCCAGATCCCAGTTCGTGTTCCGATTTCGATACTTACTCCAGCTCCGACGCCGACGCAGTGACGTAGGGTAGGAGGGCGCCTGCCCTGGACTCGGCGCAGAGGGCGGGCTGGCGGTGGTCGCGTTGGTGATCGTGCTGGTGTCGGTCGTGGCGGTGGTCGCGAGAATCGTGGTGGTCGTGGTGGTGGTTTCGGTCGCTGGTGGTACTCGCAGTCGTCGCGGTGGACGTGGTTGGGGTCGCGGCCGTTGGTGGTAATCGTGGCAGTGGTAGTCGTGGTGCTGGCGGCGGTCGCGGCGGCTGTGGCGACGGCTGTGAGGGCCTGCTGGCCTGGCGCCAGAGTGCTATCAGCAGCGTCGCGGCATTGCAATTTGAAGGGCATGTGCTAATCTGCCGCGCTCGCCCAGAAGCCACCGACTCAGCAAGGGGGCTACATCCCCAGGACGAACGTTTTTTCCTCTTGGGCCCAGAACGACGGTGTGAAGTTTTGAGCAGACCCGTATGAGATAACCACCGTCGGATCCCATGAAATTCGCGCGGATCCAAATGTGGTTTTGGTGTTTCTTTCGGTGGATCCGATTTCCGTCCGTACGGATCCGATTTCGGATTAGCTGGATCCGTGTCCAGACTCATTTTTTACAGCGGATCCGATTTCTACCCTGTTTTAAGTTTATATTATTAAGTTACAGCAGGGGACCGGAAGAAATCGGATCCGCGGACCCCGCAAACCGCCCGTGTTAAGATTCTATGGGGGAGGGGGGTTCGGCAATCAACATTATACGATGGGCCTTGCGTCGTCTCGCGCACTCCCATCAACTCCCCGCGCGAGCAGGCCCCGTTCAACATGAATACATACATCCCTCTCCCCCCAGTTGCTGCAAAGAGCTCGTCCGGTCGCCGTCCGATCGGCGGCGCCGACGTTGTCTCGCGAACTCATCATGACCATTTCACATCAAGAGGAGAATCTTTCGTCCTGCGTAAGTGCGTTTCGGCCCTGCGTTTCCTCACCCAAAGGACTGCCTGTGAGATGTGGTGTGTCGGCTGTGTGGTTACCAACAACGGACTGCCTGTGAGATGTGGTGTGTCGGCTAGATGGTAACCAACGAGACCGAAGGCCAAAACGCTCATCCCCAGGACGAAAGTTTTTTTTCTTCTTGGGCCCAGAACGACGGTGTGAAGTCTTGAGCAGACCCGTATGAGATAACCACCGTCGGATCCCATGAAATTCGCGCGGATCCAAATGTGGTTTTGGTGTTTCTTTCGGTGGATCCGATTTCCGTCCGCACGGATCCGATTTCGGATTAGCTGGATCTGTGTCCAGTCTCATTTTTTGTACGGCGGATCCGATTTCTATTTTGTTTTATATTATTAAGTTACAGCAGGGGACCAGAAGAAATCGGATCCGCGGACCCCGCAAACCGCCCGTGTTAAGATTCTATGGGGGAGGGGGGTTCGGTAATCAACATTATACGATGGGCCTTCCGTCGTCTCGCGCACTCCCATCAACTCCCCGCGCGAGCGGGCCCCGTTCAACATGAATACATACATCCTTCCCCCCCCCGGTTGCTGCAAAGAGCTCGTCCGGTCGCCGTCAGATCGGCGGCGCCGACGTTGTCTCGCGAACTCCTCATGGCCATGTCACCTCAAGAGGAGAATCTTTCGTCCTGCGTAAGTAATGCGAGGGCGACTTACTTTTTCCCGAAGACAACCAGCTTTTCGGCGGCCGTAAAACGGGCGATTCGCGTGCGATCCGACTCGTGGGTTTCCGCCAAGCTGGCTACTGACTCTGCGAAGGGCCCCGTCTGCGTGGGCGACGTGCGTATTCGCGAGGGCGCCTGGCCTTTTCGGCGGCTGGCGCGCAGGCGACGCGCTGGCGACGCATGCGCGACGCGCCTTGCGTCGCCGAGGGGGGGTCAGCGCACCGGTCGTTTTACTGGGCCTTGACAAACAGGACCCCCAATCAGGGTGGGAATTGCTGCGCGTGCGTTTACGCGCAGCGACAGGTGCCTCTGGCAAACTGTTGCGGATATGATTTGCGATGTTAGGCAAAGTGTGTGTGTTTTGAATTGGTTTTGGGACAAAATGGGCGGGGCGCGCGGGGTAAAAGCGAAGGGGGTGGGGTGGGGGGCTTGGGCCAGGACAGGGGGGCCAGGAAGCAGTCCTGAACGCACTTGATGGGTGGGCGCATGAAAGGGGTGAGGCGCAGGGCAGATCAGAAACATGCTGAGATGATTACAAGAGAGTTACGACTTGATACTGACAGCGACAAACGTGAAGTAGCAGGGGGTAGCTATTCTCGACCGAGGAGGACGAGGGGCCGCTGGGAATTGCAGATCATCAAACCTGTCAAGCCTTAGTGGCGCGAGCAATTTTCGCGGTGCAAGATACGACTGACACTCAGTGCGCCGTCGAGGAATTAGCCGGGCGCGTGTCGTCTCCCGCGGTAGGATCAAGGAAAGTTTTCGCCATGATCAGAACATCAGTGAAACACCGTGACAGAATCAGGTTCGCGCGTGCATGCCAGAGCCTGCTTGGATAGTTCGCGGCTCGGATTAGCACGGATCATGCAGGGCGTAAGAGAGCGGAAATATCCGCCAGCGAAGGCGTAGTATCGTGGGGATTCCATAGGAGGAAATCTTGGAGTTCAACGCAGACAGCGATCGCCCCGTCACCAGGAAGGGCTGAGCATCGTGACGTGGTTCAGGGGTCGCCAGTGGCATCCGGATAGCAGTCGGTTCTCAGCTGGATTTCTTGGGGCTGGTGAAGTGGGGGCACATTGAGGTTTCCCAGTTGTCGCTGCAAGACAAAGTCGGGAGTGTGTTCGTCGGAGTAAGTAGCGTAGGAACTGATCGCAGTTTTGCCGATTCACTAACACAGTTCGCGAGCAGTGCCGACGTGGGAGGACGCGCGGGGGGGGGGCGGTCGCGAGAGAGCGAGGCGTAAGTGAGCGCCGTCCACGGTGCACCCAGTACCCCGCAGCCGTCGAGCTCTCTGCTCAACCAGCCGCCGCGACACACCGATCTCAAACCCTTTCCTCTTGGGCCCAATCCCCGCGCGACACGCCGCTGAACGCTCGCGCCGCTCGCCACGGCGGGCGATGGCTCCAGGGGCCGAAGGTTCGCCCGTCGAGGCGCTGACCGCGAGCGGCATCGATGTCGATCTCGCCGGGCCCGGCGTCTTTGCCTGTCGGGTAAATGCAGCGATCGGGGGCAGCGCGGAATGCGCCGTCCAGCTAAGTAACCTCGTCCGCGACGCCTCGCGGTGGAATGACAATCTACAGGGGGCCAAGTTGCGCGCGGCCAGGCGGGTGACTCGGCCAGTGCGCGACGCGCCAGATGCTGCGCCCGCCCGCCCGCCCGACCCCTCTGTTACAGCCTGCCCGCCTGACCCCCCCGTCTGGTTAATTATGCCGCTTGTGTTCCTGCTCCTGACCCCCCTCCTGCTAATCTCTCTCGTGTTCGATCCCTCTCCCTCCCCCCTTGTGCCTTCCTACCTACTTTCCCCTCGTTCAGGGGCTGCGCCAACTACACGTGGTAGGTAAGCGGGATATTCCCCCAAAGGGGTTACGATCGAAGGGCAGGCATCGAGGTTTTTGATAGTACATGTTAAGTGGCACGCGAGTTGGCAAGAGCGAGCGATATTAGACTGATTGGCGTTGTTGTCATTGTCGTCGTTGTCGTGGCCTGTTCGTCGTGGTCGTGGTCGTGGTTGTCGTGGTGGTTCGTAGTTCTGGTCGTGGTCGTGGTCGTGGTCGTGGTAATGGTCGTGGCAGTGGTGGTGGTCATGGTCGGGGTGATGGTGGTGGTCGTGGTCGTGGTGGTGGTGGTCATGGTCGTGGTAGTGGTTGTAACGGTCGTAGTCGTGGTCGTGGTCGTTGTCGTCGTCGTCGTCGTCGTCGTTTCGGGCTGGGACTGCCCCCCTCCCGGTCTGCTGATTTATTGCCACGGCTGCTGCTGCCTCTTCCTCCCCCTCCTCGTCCGTCACCTGGGTCCCCGCCCCCTTCTCGTCCTCGTGTTCGTCCTCGTTTTCGTCCTCGTGTTTGCCCGCTTCGGCTCAGTACCTGCAGGCTCAGTCATATGCCGCGCCGAAGCCGGCGGTGGTGCAGTACTCCACGCTGGGCGGCGCTGGCGCACACTACACCGCGTCGGGCGGCTATGGGGCCGCCGCGCAGCCCTACCCACAGCAGCCAGGAAAAGGGAAGGTGCCCCACCTTGAGTAGGGAGGTAATGGTGGTAGGGGGGGGGGGGGGGAAGGGAG